CTTTAGAGGATGAATAAGAGCATGTTCTGTGTGTACATTCACTGCAGAATAAGTCTTACTGTCACCATCTTCCTGCCAGCTCCCCCGCATGTCGTACTCCTGTTCCAGGTTCAGTGTCTCTGAGGCAGTCAGATGCTGCAGCTCAGGATGCTTCATCCATTCATGATACCTGCAGAGTGTAAACAGGTGGATAAGAGACAGCGACTCCAGGTTTCTACAGCTTTAACTTAATCATGTATCCAGATGCCAAAGGACCAGAGCTGGTTCTGCTGTGCCAGTTAAAGAGACTTCAAACTGTCAAAGGATCAGAAGCTTGTATTGACAGCTGGGTCAGATGTGTCATCTGTCCTAAGTTATAGATAAAAAGCTTTCACATGCTCCATGACAAATGAGACTGTATGATACGACGGAAAGCTCCAGAAAAGCTACTAAATGGAACTTGTGATGAGATTTTCTCAACATTATTATTTAGAAGTCAAAATAAAACCCATCCACCTTGATAGTAAAGAAATAACTTTCAAACACTCATCACTAAAGATATCAGCAGAGGAAAATAAAATAAAAAAGTGACAGGCTTCATGTGTGTAACAAGACTGATCAGGTGTAAATGTTACCTGGGCACATGGTTTACATTGTAAGGAACCAGACACAAACACCAATAGGACCGATTATAACAATAACCTAAATTCAACCCTTGTACGTCCCATCAATATATTATAACAGCTGGATACCGAATGACAAGATGGAAATCATTCTTCCCACTGATGTATTAAGGGGAAAAGGCAGGATTTTTCAATGTTTGTACTGCGAGAACATTTTTTCATAACGTTAATATAATTTCCCCAGTGAATGTTTTTCACCTGGCGCACACGGCAAATTTGTTTTTCTTCCAACGTTGCTTCCACGTTCTGGGGTCCACTGTACATGCGCATCAATAGGCTAGAATATATTGGTTGCTATTCAAGAAGACATTCGTTTCATAGTCACATGAGACTGCTGTACCAAAGCCAGTGATGTTAACCACCAAGTTTTTTTGAACTTTTACTGGTTTCTGCTATTGGTTAACACAGCTTGGCAAGAGAAAGGGGGGTGATATTGCTTAAAACAGAAATATTAAAATTAACATAGTACCACACAAACGGTCACACAGTAAGACACACGCATTTTCTTAAGGAAATGCATTTGTGTAGTATAAATATGTTTTTTTTGTTATCTGAGCTGTTCCATTTCCATATAAGTGGATTAAAATATTTCAAAATCCAGTTATTTGTTGTTTTTTTTGTTTGTTTGTTTTTGCTTTTTTTAAATAGGTGGTAGGCCTCCATAACTGGGAAAGACATAACTGAAATGTAAAATGCGTCAGGTTAAGTACATAGCTCTACTACATCAACTTCTGAAGAGAAGATGGATGAGAATGAACTTTGGGACAAAAATGTAATGATACTTCTATTGTATATTTGTCTTTCACATTTTTCATTTATAAAGGTTTTGTAGTTCTTGTCTCAATTTCAAGATGACAAAAATACATTTTAGTAGCTATTTCTCACCTGAGTTGTACAAATATACGTTGACACATGAAGACTAATTGTTATTCCAGTCAGCAGCATAATGGCTCTCTGTTACTGTTTTAACAGAAAAACCAACAGTTTAAAAAGGACGCCGAGCCTTCCGACATGAATTATGGCCTCTGTTCGGGGAAAAAAGTGAGGACAGCTCTTGGTCCCCAATTCATCAGACTGTCCAAATACAATTGCACCGCCGGCCCCAGATCAAGCATGCCATTTATTAACTCGAATCTCTTGGTGTCAGGCACAAAACCTCATTCATCCTACCACTGTGCTCATCTCATGGGCCTTTTACTCTGAGACAAGTGGATAGATCCCTTCCGTTCATGACCTGTGGGTGTCTGGCACTTATAAATTAAAACTGTTTTGGCTTGGAGTTTTGTTTTTTTTTCAACCTGTGTAAGACCTCTCACACCTTGTTTTCTTAGGTAGTGATCTTCACTCGATTGCTTTGCCTGCAGATGGTTTAAGAGGGACAGGCTACAAACAAAAGCCAAGTTACACTGGGGGTTTCTGTCACTTATAAATTAAAACTGTTTGGGCTTGGAGTTTTGTTTTTTTTTCAACCTGTGTAAGACCTCTCACACCTTGTTTTCTTAGGTAGTGATCTTCACTCGATTGCTTTGCCTGCAGATGGTTTAAGAGGGACAGGCTACAAACAAAAGCCAAGTTACACAAGTCATGTTAAAGTAGAATTGAATATAATATAGCATATATGTGTTTTTAAAGTGCCAAAATGCCGTAGACCCGCATTCTTAAAAGGGAAATGCATTTCTAATTTCTGTGGTTAGATTAAAAAAAAAACTTTTTTATATATTTCTATATTCCACTTTCAAAAAAGTGCTAAGATATGCCCCAAGTGCATCATTTTACTTTACTTTAAAAAATATTTGTACACCAATCTGCATATTTCACTCTCCTCCAGCTCTCCCTTCATTTAATTGTTTCCTCTATACTCATGATTGCTTGCCATCTTGAAGTGCGTAATTAACTCTCCAAATGAAAAAGATTTTACATAAAGTTGGAGAAATCTTGCTGTTAGAAGTCTCCGTGGGAGCACTTTATATAAGTGCAAGGAAATTATACATTGATGCACTGTACTGCAGGAAAATTGATAGTTAAGTATAGAAGGCCTCAGAGAAAAACTGCAGGCTATGCATTTTTTTTTCGTCTTGGCAACTTACTGGAACATCACTGCTGAAAACTGCATTAATTAGAACACGTCTGGGAGATGTTTTATGATGGGATAATGACAGCATATTTCAGTACATTCTGAGGTGGTTTGTCACAACTCAGTACAATAAGAGCTGTCAGAGCATGTGGCTTCAAAATTATTTCACTGTCAAAATTTTAAATATTAAATAAGCTGACTTTCATTTCTGTGGCTGAAGACATTTTAGACTAATGCCTTGAACCATACAGTGTAACATCAATGCAACTCTTTATTGCACTCATAAAGTTTAGTTTAATTTAAATACATTAGAGAGATTGCCAGATCGTTTATCTTTAGCGAAAGCATGCCCGCCCGGCTGTCGAGATTCTCATAAAATCACTGGACACTGGACTTTTTCAAATACTCTCTCTGAACTTTTCATCAAACTATCAAGACAAAGACAAAAACATGCACTCTCCATGCTCATTAGTTCGATTACCTAGCCTCATGTCTAAGAACCATTCTGCCTCTCTGGAGTTGGACTGTGAGCCCCAAAAACCCACTTATACAGTAACACCCAGTGTTAATGCACATACACAGATGCATCAAACTTTAGTTTATAGCCATAGAAAAGCTTCACAACAACTCTGCTGCCTCCTTATTTTCTGTGTCCTGTTTTCTTTCTGGGTTGTAAATTTTTTTTTTTTTTTTAATCCAAATGTGACAGATATAAATGGAAATGCCAGCAGCAGAACAGCTACCCAATCCTCAGCATGAGATAATGGCCGATCTGCTGGGGATTTCCGAATGGGCCTTGTCTCTAACCCCCACCCCCCACCCCCGCCAATTACCAGCTCTCCAACAGGCACCCAGATGGTCTCCACACTGCAAAGATGAGCTACAAAATGGGGTTCGCTCAACAATCCTCTAGAGCACTAATACACACCTGACACTTTGCCCCAGAACTGAACAGGAAAGTGTATCCAAACTTTTGACTGGTAGTGTAACTTAACCATGGTATCTTGAACTCACCTGTTAAGATGCAAACAAACAAAACTGTCCACACAATGGAATTAGTTGGTAGCAACCCTATGGGAACATTCTGCATTGGCTTTGTTTGGTATCAGCCCTAATCTACAGACATGTATGTATACCAAGATTATACCAAGCTTTCACAGACCTACATAAAAAATAGAAGTGTAATGTAGTGCTGGATTAATGTTGCTGTGATGTCTTTTACTCAAGTCAAAAGTGATGATCCAAATTCCTTCTTGGATTCCTCTTTTGTCATTTGTCATGTTACACTCCAACACATACCGTACACAACACATCCAAGAAGCTGCATTTTTGTTCTATAAAGGCACTGTGACTATCACTTATCTTCAGAGAGCAGTATTTCCACTGCTGCAGCTTCACATATGCATGGCATTAGTGTTTGCTGTCACAGTTGCCAATGTGGAACACCGATCAAACATTTGGGTAAATATGCTTCACCGTGATTAGATTAAAGAAGCTGCCTGCCATCATCTGTCCCTATCATGAAAATCTGGAAAACTCTATTTTGAAAAGGTACTGATAGCATGCTAGAATAAAGTGTTTCTACAACAGAATATCTTGTTCATAATGAAGACTGTAGACAGAGGAAATGTGCATTTGGCAGTGGTGGTATGAACATCTTGTGTCGAAATGGTCTAATGACAAGAAACTGTTCATGTCAACTTGCATTAACCCACACACAGTAAAATGGAAGCTGTGGCATCCATAATATTGCAGGAAGCAATTATGCATAGATAACTGCATCACGTACAGAACATTCCTACAAAAGCCAATAAATGCTTTTTTGATGCTATCAAAATACCTTGTTCTAGAAGCATAAGAGAATACAAGCCTCTTGAGCCCATGAGTTACAACCAGGAATTTAGAAGTTTTATAAGGAAAGAATCTAATTGGAAGCACAAGTTATCTAGTGCTTTTTCTAAGTGTTTATATGTAACAAGAAATCACAACCTAATTCAGAAAACAACATTTGCAGAGTACCAGTTGCCTGCTGCTAAACAGGACTTCCAGTCTGCTAGCACTTGGGTAAACTAGTGCTTTGAGCGAAATGCTAGTGTCAACACGTTAATAATGACAGTGCTGATACCTAGCAGGTATATTGTTTGCCATGTTCATCACTTTAATTTAGCATGTTTGTATGCTAACATTTTTTATTTAGCACTAAATGTAAAGTGTTTCTGAGAGTCAAAGGGAGACTTTTAGTTTTACAGGTATGTGGTCATAAACAATAGCACTGGACAAATGAAAATTTTGACTGTTAAGTTACCAAAGCTTAGCACTGATCTTCACTTCTCTGTTAATGGGTTACATATGACATCAGGTAAACTAATAAACCATTTCAAATTCCAAATGGATTGTCTGAAAAATGCATTATCACAAAATCAGAATCAGAGCTGCTTTGTAATGAAAGGCTGACACTTGGGAGATGCATGTTTTGCATCATTTGTTTCATTCATACAGTACCTTACAATTACGATCTTCCTCACCAGCTGTGCAGGTACCAGCTGACTTGTCACATCCAATCATCCGTGCAGCTACAGTACAGTATACAGGATAGCCTTTACTAAGCAGTGAGGTAGAGCAACACAGCAGTCACAATCCCCAGCATCCACAGCTGCTGGAGGGTAAAGCTTCAGCTCACTGGCACATTTCATTCTCCGACTTCTCACTCTCACTGTATGACACCTCCATGACCTCAAACCTTTTCGTACTTCACCTCCCTTGCTCTCGCCACTCATTAAGTCTTCCTCATGACTCACCACATACCTTTGCCGTGAGAAGCCATGACACTAAGTAATTAAAATCTCCTTGTGGAATCAGTCAGAGGTGAAGTGACGAGCACGCTGCTCGGACAAGGTTCGGCTGAGTCAATTCTAAGCAGACCTCCTCCATCACTCACCGACAGAGATATTAAAATGGTGCAGGAATGATGATGGGATTCAACAGGACACTTAGCTTCAAAGGCCTAACTAAGTAAGTGAGAGGCACAAGGATGGTTATACTGTACAGTGTCTGCAAAGATATGACAAAGATTATGATTTACAAAGGAATCATTTTACAAATGGGTTAAGGAGAACGTGTTATGGCTCATTTGGAAACAGAGTAGTAATGTCAAATAAAAATTACACTGGCATTGAGCTGTCGGCCACAGCTCTAAAACTTAAATTGGACCGACATTTTATTTCCTTTGGTGCTAAAACCAGTTCTCCAGGGATATTTGCTGGTTGTAAAGCATAATAATATCACG